TCCCGCCTCACTTTTCTTTTGTACATTATAGTTTGCAATACAGGTACTGAAAGATTATCATGTTTGTCCCTTTACCTACTCTCAGCACTCAGTTATTGTCCAGAGGGGTCATTTCCAACTACCTTTGGCATAGTTGTCCATTTTCTATCCTAGCTTCCCTCTCCCACCACCACTTATGGCAAGTTTCCAACTGTGGACCATTCCTCCTGGCCCTTGTTTCCACTGTCCTTGAGTATTAGTCTCATACTATGTTTATATCCCACAAATGAATGGATGAATGAATTAATGATTCTAGGTCTGTCCCTTTCCCTCTGACTCACTTCATTCATGAACTTTATTATTCCTGGTGGCTGCGTAATATTCTATTATGTAGAAGTACCGTAGTTTTTTCCCCAGTCATCTGTTATTGGGCACTTCGGTTGTTTCCTGATCTTTCCTTTGTTCCCATAGTTTGGTCTTTTCCAGATCATGCAGTGTAGACTTCTCAGGATGGCTTCTTTTGCTTACTAACCCCAATACACTTAGGGTCCCTTCATTGCTCTTTGTGACTTGATAACTCACTTCTGTTTAGACTAGACAGTATTCCGCTCTGTTTACTGAAGTGCATCTTGCTTGTTTCCAAGTTCTGAAAACCATGAATAAGCCTTCTATAAACATCTCTGTGCAGAGTTGTGTGGGCATATGTTTTAGGTTCATTTGAAAAAGCGCCAAGGAAAGTAAATGCTAGATCCAATGGTGAGTTTATATTTAGTTTTGCAAGAAATTGCCAAACTCTTTCTGTTTTCTTTTTTTCACCCACAGACTTTATTTAAACTCTGATTTACAAAGTCATGGGCTGGAGCGATAGCACAGTAGTAAGGTGTTTGCCTTGCAAGCAGCCGGCCCGACCGAGCTGGGTTCGATTCCTCCGCCCCTCTCAGAGAGCCTGGCAAGCTACCGAGAATATCTTGCCCGCACGGCAAAGCCTGGCAAGCTACCCGTGATGTATTCAATATGCCAAACACAGTAACAACAAGTCTCACAATGGAGATGTTATTGGGCCTGCTTGAGCAAATCGATGAACAGCGGGAGGACAGTGCAGTGCTACAGTGCTACAAAGTCATTAATGATGGTTTGCTACAGGCATTCAATATTCCAACACCAATCCCACCACCACTGCCACCTTCCCTCCACCATTGTCTCCATTTTCCTAACCAACCCTCAAGCCCGCACCCCATGGCAGACCCACAAGAGTCTATTTTATATTGCTCATTTCACATAAATGGCTAACAGAATGATCAAAGAATATTTACTTTGAAGAAAATTCGCAAAAATTGTTGTACCTCACCATGTGGATATTGAAACCTTGTCTTCGGGTATTATTAAGATGTTGTTACAAGTTAAGCTTCTGTGTTAATGTTTTTGTTAGTCCAGATTGGCTGGCTTCTACATTACATCCCACCCAATCTGGTGAACTCCAGCTGGATTGTCAGTGTTATAGAGTTTGGAGATGTCTGGAGATTCTCAACTGTGCACTCCAGAAAATTGAGAGTTTTTAGCTGATGAGTCAGGCTGGAGTTAAGTTTTTTCCTGCTGAGTTTACATGGTGGTGGAGGTGATTTATGGGCATGACTGCTGGGGCTCCTGAAAGTATGGGGAAGTGGAGGGAGGTAGCTCACTTCGATTCTGAGCTGCCAACGGAGCATTCAGCTACAGAAGCCTGAGTACCCGAGGGTTAAGTTCTCTGTGAGGCTCAGTGGTCCTGAGGGGAGGAGACTGGCTGGAGGCAGAGGCTTTGGGGTATAGAAGGCGGAGATGTCTGGGGCTTTGTTTGGGTTAAAGTGCTGGCCTGCCCACTCCGAGAGTGCCCTGGGTGCCAAACTCTCTTTCAAAGTGACTGTGCTAAATGATACACCATAGCCATGCCACCGACCCTGCGCCAGGCTGTTTCTCTTGGGGCAAACCGAAGGAGAGTGGGTGAGGCCCCTCCTTGCCTCAGTGGAGCAGCCCCAGCAACTGAAAACTTCCAGAACTCAACTGCCACCATGCTCACGGCTGCTCTCCACATGTTCAGATGAGCCTCACCATGAGTGAACCTATTCCTGGACATCTCATACTTCACACCACTAATATATCAAGAGTATCACACCACATTTGATGGGGTTTAAAGTAGATGGCAATCTTAGGGGAAATATATTTATATATTTGTGCAGATATATATTTATAAGCATACCAAGTTCAACCTTTTACAACATGTTACTAATCTCTTATAAAAGGGCTTAATGGCTCCTGGGTGAAATACAACAATTTTCACACAGTTTCCTCTAAGAAACCTTTTTGTTCATTTTTAACAGATTATTCATAACAAGCAATACAAAATAAATTTATTTTGGTTCTGCTTGGGAGGCAGGGCTTGGGGTTTGGGATGGAAATATGGTGGTGAAAGGTGTAATGGTGGTGAAATTGGTGTTCAAATATTAAATGTAATCAAATATGTTGAACAACTTTATAATAAAAATATTAAAAAATTGAAAACAACAACAAAGTGACTGCTATTTCACATTCCCAGTAGGAGTGAATGAGAGATCCTGCGATGTAATGCCCAGGGTCATACTAGGGTCAGCTGGAGACAAGGCAAGTCCCTCACCTACTGTATATCTGTCTGGTCTTCTGTTCCCTCATTTTTAATGTTGATTCTGACATGCATACTACAAATAATGCAAGGGGTATTATTATCTCCCCCCTTACATTTAGGTGACATTCAAAATCATAGTAGCCAATAGAGGCTAATGTTAACGGAGGCCTTCAGATCTCTTAGGCATTTGCTTTTGCTTCCTTCAGAGTACCTTCTGGATCTTTCCAGATTTTTCTCCCTTCTAAAGCACGGAAACTGTGAAACACCTCTCCCTTACTTTACAAACACATTTAAGACATCTCCCCTTCTTTCCTCTAAATTCCAGGAGCCTGTCTGTGCTCCTGGTGGAAGGGCCACACTCTGTCAGAGGCACTGGGATCCAGAACTTGTACAATGTCCTGCTAAGCTTCTTAGAGGCAGGTATTAGCAGGGATTGGATATTCTTCTCCTGTGATGCCCTTCACACCCGACCCTGCCTTGAATTAGCATCCAGAGGTGAGATGGGGACCTGAGAATGGGATGGTCCCTGCCATCCAGAATGAAACCCGCTCTTTGAGACCCTGATTCTGACAACTTTCCAAGACTGAGAAGGAGCCTAGATGGCCAGGTTTGAAGGTAAATGATGTGGTTTGCTAGGCGGGATCTGCTGGGGCATCCAGTGAGCGCTCTTATATAACACAGACACACAGAAAGAGAGAGACCCTCTGAGGTTAATTAGGCGAGTGGCAGAATAGCTGTGATGCCTGATTCACGGCCAGGATCAGGTGGACAGGGAGAGGTAGAGAGGATGACAGGACTCAGGAACAAAGGAGGAAAGTCATGTGTCATGGGCTCCGCTTTCTTTTGAAGACAATTGGTTTTGCCTTGCTAATTAGTGAGAGATGCTGGCAAGGCTGGGCCTCGGAGGGGTCATCAACATCGTCCTGTCCCCTCTAGCTGTGTGACTCTCTGTCACAGCTCTCAGACCCACAGTTTCTTCTTGCCTCCAGAAGGAGTTGTTGCACTGACTGATGCCAGTTCCTTGTGCTTTGAGCTCTGTGGGTTACTCCTCGCTCTTCTAAGCTACTAGCTCATATGTAAGCTCAATCTTTTCAGTCATGGTTTTGTAATAATCCATGGACACTGAAGAGAGAATTAATGCAGATTTACTTGAGCTAGCTGCAACCCTTTATCTTCTTTTCTTTATCTTTATTTTCATTTTGTTTTGGGGCCACACCTAGCCTTGTTCAGGGCTTACTCCTGACTGCACTCAGGGACCACTCCTGGCTGGGCTCAAGGGAACATATGTGGTGTGGGGGATGGCACCTGGGTTGGCCACATGCATATGCAAGGCAAGCATCCTCCTCACTGTGCTACCATTCCGGCCCCATGCAACTCTTCGTTAACAACTGAGGATTCTTTAAAGGCCTCTCCTGTTCCCCCTTCTATGTCCTTATGTAAAACTAACACTCAGGGGCATCTGTTTCTGTGCAAAGCTTTTCATAGCTCTGTGGTCAGAGTTTTGTTTCTCCAGGTATCTTCCCAGAGAGCATCTTTGCATCTTTAACATGCCTGTTCTCCTGCCCATGGCACAGATGAGGTGCCAGGTTCATCTGTGCATGGGGACATGGCTGTTAAGTGACCGAGCTGGGAATTCGGGCTTATCCCTCCACTCCACCTTCTTCCTGTTGCCCCATGCCGTCAGACGACCCTCATGGCATTAACTTCAAAGCCAAGACCTCTAGATGATGTGGGGGAATCTTTTTGAGTTAGTACAGAAAAACCAGTGGTGTCTTGAGGCAGGAAAATGACTCTAAGTGCTAGATCTTATGCCAAGTCTGTGTGAAGTTCTGGGTTTGATTCCTGGGGTTCACATGCCCCCCTTTTCCTCCTCTCCTAAAACTGCATGTCCTCCTATTAACACAGTAAGCCATTTTCCAACTCACCCACTGCCAGCTGTGGCCCAGGGGTATCGCTTTAAAAACATCTCAATTACTTCTCTTTTTTCTTGGGGGGGTGGTTTGGGGGTTGGGCCATACTTGACGATACTCAGGGATTACTCGTGCCTCTGCACATAGGAATTACTCCTTGTGGTGCTCAGGGGCCCATAAAGGATGCTGGGGATCAAACCTGGGTCTGGCCCTCTCCTCTGTACTATCACTCCAGCCCCAACACCTCAATACTTCTCCAACCGTCTTCCTCTCATCTCTTTTTGGTATAAAGCTTAAAACAAAATCTTCCTGCTGTCTGGCCTTGGTGAAGGTGCAATCTGCAACCTGGACCCCCAGCTAAGGCTGACTGAGCTCCTGCTTGGACCTGAGGAATGAAGGCAGGTTCTTACAGGATTACACTCAGATAGGGTTGTGGCCATGTTGACCTCACAGAGGGTCTTAGACAGTCTCTGCCCATGGACGGGGCCTTTGGGACGGGCGTGGATGCTCTTGAAGAAGAGGTTCCCTCCACCATAAGGGCCCCTGTGTGAATTGTCCCTGTCACTTGTGGGCGGACAGATCCCCATTCTCTTCTTAGGAGTGATGATGCAATGTGATGGGGTCAGGCACTGCCCATCCAGCTCCTCCTTCTCCCTGATTCTTGTGTCTTCCCAAGAATGGAATGGAGAGCACGAACTAGCTAAAGAAACTAGCTAAAGAATGGAGAGCACGAACTAGCTAAAGAAAGTGTTTCTATAAAAGGTAGAGAAGGCAAGTGGAGGGACAAGAACCCGGCTGGGACCTAGTGAGGTTTATTCCTGGGGAACAAAATAGCAAAGATGCTCCCCCGAGTGAAGGGAATGGTGGTGGGAGGGGCTACGGGAAACACAAACATTGTCTGTTTGGCCTCTTTTTATGGTTTCAGGCTTCCTGACTTCCTATTCCCTCCCTCTCTCCTCCCCAAACACCTGGGAGCTGAGGTTCTTATCACATCCGGCTACCCAGAGATTGCAGAGGTAACTGTTAATTGCTGTGGTGCCGGCGGGATGCTTTTGACATGTCCCATCGTTTTATAATGATGGTCTGAAGAACCTGTGTTCACTCTGCGGCCATCAGGGCTGCCTTCTGTTTACTGCTGGTTAGAACAGGGTGATGGAATGCTCCACTGAAGTTTCTTTACCACCATAATTAGGTCTGAGGCCTGACTCAGAGCCACGCCATGCAGGGGCCAGAGTGATAGTACAGCAGTAGGACACTTGCCGTGCATGCGGCTGACCTGGGTTTGATTCCCCGCATCCCATATGGTCCCCTGAGTACCGCCAGGAATAATTCCTGAGTGCAGAGCCAGGAGTAACCCCTGACCATCACTGGGTGTGACCAAAAAAAAAAAACCACCCGTGTTTTTTTAAAATAAATCTGCATCATTTATTTATTTTATTTAAAAAATTTTATTATTTATTATATTAGTTTTTTATAAATAAATCTGCATTAATTCTCTCTTTGGGCTGGAGCAATAGCACAGCAGTAGGGCATTTGCCTTGCACGTGGCTGGCCCAGCCGACCGGGGTTCAATTTCTCCGCCCCTCTCGGAGAGCCCGGCAAGCTACCGAGAGTATCTCGCCCGCATGGCAAATCCTGGAAAGCTCCGTATGACATATTTGATATGCCAAACACAGTGATAACAAGTCTCATAATGGAGACGTTACTGGGCACGCTCGAGCAAAATGATGAACAATGGGAGGACAGTCCTACAGTGCTAATTCTCTCTTCAGTGTCCATGGATTATTACCAAACCAGAACTTAACCCCTGAGCATCACCAGGTGTGACCCAAAAAGAAAAAAAAAATCCTACATGTATCTGTTCCTGTCTCCCTCCAGGGCCAAGTAACCTGCTCCTTCATCTTCTATCTTTGCAGCTGCCCCCAGCTGGTCTGCATGGAGACGTCTCCCCGCTCACCACCTTGAGTCCCAGCACAGCCTCTGTCTTTCCCTGCGAAGAATGAGAGGCCGTCCCTAACTGGACATACCTGCACTCCGGGGCAGCTGATCAGGATGGGGGCACAGGAGAGGCGGCGGCTCGGCCCTCGGCGCCTTCTCTGGACCCGCTTTGTCTTCCTTCTGGGAATGCTGCTCATCATTTCCATCTGCCAGCAACTGCGGAGTTCCCCAGGCCCCCCCTCGCTGTGGGGGGTGGTCTCTTCGCTACTCCCTGTGAAACTGGCCAGCCGGGACCTCGCCAGGAAGGAGGTGATGGTGAGCAGTGACCTGCCGGGATCTAGCTCTGGGACGGAGAGTGGGGCTTCAGCGACACCCGGCTGGGCTGCAGGGAGCACCTCAATTCTGCCACGAAGAGCAACAAGACCCCAGGACAGCTCCCAGCCCCCCAGTGCAGGCTTGGGGGGAGTGCCCACCACCACGCCTGGGAGAGGATCCACCTCTCCAACTGCACCCAAACCAGCAGGGGTGGAGGCGACCCCAGCATTAACCTGGGGAGGAATGAAGAGTGACCCCCCAACTCAAGCCAGGCCAGAGGTGGGGAAGCACACCCAGACCCCAGGCACTGAGCCGGAAGACAGTCATGCCACCCCCACACTCACGACTGTGAGAAGCCAGCGCGTCACACCAGGAGCTACAGCAAGAGGCAGTGAAACAACCTCCACAGTACCGGAACTCAACCCTTCCCTCACAGGAGTGGACAAAGTGGCCCCGTCCACTCTCTGGAGGGGCATAGGGCACACCCCAACTTTCCTGGACAGTGACAGAGAAACAAACTCCTTGGCTGCTCCAAGGAGTGCGAGTGGCAGAGATGTCCTTGCGAGAATGGACAGTAGTGGTTCAGCTGTCTCCCCAGGGCTCATGGGGGAGATCCGCCCCACAACTCCCCAGGAAACTGTCTCAGCGGACACCCCAGCCAGCGCCGGGCTATCCGAGGCCTCAGACACCAAGTCAAGCGGTAGCCCCCCAGGAGCCAAAGCCTCTACTGCAGCCCGGCAAGCTGGGGACCCCTTATCCAGAACCAGTGCCCCAGCCCTTAGTGCACCCCCAACCACTTTCTGGGGGCCGGCGAAGAAATCCCCGCCTGCACCCCACACCTCAGCGACTGTCCCCAGCAGGCCCAGCCCCATCACTCAGGTCCATGGCTGTGCAGTGCTGGAGCCAGCCCCCACGGTGCCCACTGCCCACTCCCCCGGCCACCCCCATTCCAGTCCCTCGGGCTCACCTGCCAGCCAGCCAGCCCACCCCCCTCAGGGAGAGTACCCCCCAGACCTGTTCAGCGTGGAGGAGCGCCGTCAGGGCTGGCTGGCGCTGCACGTCTTTGGCATGACGTACGTGTTTGTGGCGCTGGCGATCGTGTGCGACGAGTACTTCGTGCCCGCACTGGGCGTCATCACAGAGAAGCTGCGGATCTCAGAGGACGTGGCGGGTGCCACGTTCATGGCTGCGGGGGGCTCCGCCCCGGAGCTCTTCACCTCGCTCATCGGGGTCTTCATCTCCCACAGCAACGTGGGCATCGGCACCATCGTGGGCTCGGCCGTGTTCAATATCCTCTTCGTCATCGGCACCTGCTCCCTCTTCTCCCGGGAGATCCTCCACCTCACCTGGTGGCCCTTGTTCCGCGACGTCTCCTTCTACATCCTGGACCTGCTGCTGCTCATCGTCTTCTTCCTGGACAGCCTCATCGCCTGGTGGGAGAGCCTGCTGCTGCTGCTGGCCTATGCCGCCTACGTCTTCACCATGAAGTGGAACAGGCAGCTGGAGCGCTGGGTGAAGGAGCAGCTCAACACGAGGCCAGCGGCCAGGGTCAGGGCCCTCGGGGACCTCGGCAAGGTAAGGACGGGCTGGAGCAAAGGGTGGAGAGGAGAGGGAAGCCGGGACAAAGCAGACAGCAGGCCTGGCACTCGGCGCCCTAGACAGTCAGCCCTCCCTTCAAGGCTCTTTTTTGCCAGTCGCATCTGCAACAGCAACTCTGGCTTGTCCTTTGTCATCCTGTAAAAATGGTTGCCTTGGGCTGGAGCGATAGCACAGTGGGTAGGGCGTTTGCCTTGCATGAGGCCGACCCAGGTTCGATTCCCAGCATCCCATATGGTCCCCTGAGCATCGCCAGGAGTAATTCCTGAGTGCATGAGCCAGGAGTAACCCCTGAGCATCGCTGGGTGGGACCCAAAACAAGGGGGAAAAAAAAGAAAGAAAAAAAGTGGTTGCCCTTATGATTCCCCAGGGCTAGCGTGAGAAACTGAGGTCTAGTGAAGTTAAAGCTTTCAGGGCCACACAGCAGCAGGCAGTAGCATCATGACCTGAACCCCCCTGGTGTGATGGGGTCTTAGGAAATAACATTTGGGTTGGGCTTTAGACAATATTCAAGGGGCTTTCAGGCAGGATTCAATGGTCGTCTCTTCTGTGATCACTGGGTGGTGTCGAGGATTTATCTTCTTCCATTTAATTCTATTTTGTTCACGTTCTGGACATGAAATGACGAGAACATTGGATGGAGCCTTGGATAGAGTCTTGGCCTGAGAGGGAGTTTTCATTTTATTTTATTTTAATTTAATTTAATATCATTTTTTGCGTCACACCTGGCATTGTATCATACACTTAGGAATTACTCCTGGCAGTGCTCGGGGGACCAGATGGGATGCTGGGAATTGAACCTGTGTTGGTCACGTGCAAGGCAAACGCCCTACCTGCTGTGCTATCGCTCCAGCCCCGAGAGAGGGAGTCTTCAGTTGTGAAATATTATATGGCAAAGGCCAGAGAGATAGTCCAGCAGATAAGGTGCTTGCCTGGTAGATGGCTGACCTGGACTCGATCCTTCACACACATGTGGTTCCCTGAGCCTCTCCAAGTGTGATCCCTGAGCACAGAGATAGGAGTAAGTCCTGAGCACTGTCAGGTGTGACTGAAAAACAAAAATCAAAAGAGTAAAATGGTGAGGAGCAGAAGGAATAAAATAAATGTCAGAGCAGACAGGGCCTCCATGCAGCCCTGACAGATAAGTAGCCTGGGATGAGGCCCTTTCTGCTCCCCAGAGAGCCAGCCCTGCAGCTTCCTGCCAGCCCCCAGTACTACTTCTGAGAATTTCTCTGCATCTCTGAAGAACCTTTATGCTAAACTCACACGTGACTCTATAGCCAGAACTGGAGACTGGGGAGCTGGGCTCTGAAAATTCATCTCACAGCTGTTTGGTCCTTGAACCTCCAACATGAGGTCAACCTGGGGGTCACAGTTTCCATTCATCTCCGACTTCTAAAGGATGAATTTGGGGGAAGGTTCTCTCACAATCTGCATGTTTCAGGTTTCAGGAAAGCTCTGGAGTGAGCAGAAATTTGCATGCAAAGAGCAGAAGGACTTAGTATTTAATCCAGGGCAGTTCTGATGCGTGAGCAAGGTGGAGGCCAAATTCAGTGACAGATGCACCAGCGAGACAAAATGTACTTCCTTTAGGATTCTTGATACATGGTGTTGATTTAACCAGAGCGTGGAATAGAGTTGGAAACTAGGGTTCGAGTCATGTTCTGCCTCTCACAATGACCTCAAGAATGTCCCCTCTCTTCTCCGCTGAAAATGACCAAGTCAGTGAACCACCGAAAGTTCCTGTCTAGCTTTGACATTCATTGATAATGTCCTGTGTTCTGGGAGGCCCAGTGCTGCTGTCCCCTGACTGATCTGGTGGGCATCACCCTGATACCCCTAAGGGTCTTATTTGCAGAAGCCACCACAGGAGAGCTTGCCTGGCCAGCAGGTATTGGAACTGGGCGCCAGTGTCCAGCGCTACATTCAATCAACACCGTTTCCCACTAGAGTGCAGCTCCGCAGTCCCGAGGCTGAGAGAGAGAGAGAGAGGAGAGAGAGAGGGAGAGAGAGAGAGAGAGAGAGAGAGAAGGGGGAGAGAGAGAGGGAGAGAAAGACAGAGAGAGACAGAGAGAGGGAGAGAAGAGAGACAGAGAGAGAGAATGGGAGACAGAGAGACAGAGAGAAAGAGGGAGGAAGGGAGGGAGGGAGGGAGAGAGAGAGAAAGAGGGAGGGAGGGAGAGAGAGCGCTAGGCTCTGAGCACTCTTCCACTTCATTGGGGAGGCCAGGGAGGCCAGCATGGAGTCCCACTCTCTCATCAGAGGAAAGCAGTTTTCAAAATACCTTGACTTGCCTCCTGTCATTCTGGTTTTATTGAAACTTTGTGAACTCTGAATTTTCCATTTTGCCAGAACTATATCCATTTCCCATAGAGCAAAGCTTATCAAGTGAATAAAGAGTAATTCTGAGTTTCAAAGAGAGCTTCTTAACCTACTTAAGACAGACTTTGAGGGCTTTAGTGGCAGTTCTGATGACAACTCAGTTTTTATCTCTTTGTTGAAAGAGATCCAGTGTGATTTTTAAATAAACGCCATTAATTTTTTAAAGGCAGAACTTCTTGCCATTAACAGCCATGTTTTGAAATCATTCAAATTAACTCAAGAACTATCACATTTAAAATTTTTTTTAAATGATTAAAAATGCATTGAGGGGCTGGAGAGATAGCACCTCCTCTTCCTCCCTCCCCTCCTCCTCCTCCTCCTCCTCCTCCTCCTTCTCCTCTTCTTCTTCTTCTTCTTCTTCTTCTTCTTCTTCTTCTTCTTCTTCTTCTTCTTCTTCTTCTTCTTATTCTTCTTCTTCTTCTTCTTCTTCTTCTTCTTCTTCTTCTTCTTCTTCTTCTTCTTCTTCTTCTTCTGTTGTGCAGGGCTTCCTCCTGGCTCATGCACTCAGGAATTACTTCTGGCAGTGCTTGGGGGACCATATGGGACACTGGGAATCGAACCCAGGTCGGCCCCGTGCAAGGCAAATGCCCTACCTGCTGTGCTATTGCTCCAGCCCCCCCAGGTTTCTTCTTGAAAGAGAGAGATAAAAGAGAGAGAGTGAGAGTGAGAGAAAGGCAGAGAGAGAGAAAGAAGGAACAATCTCTATTCCCATTTCTGTCACTGTCACTGTCCTCTCGTTGTTCATCGATTTGCTTGAGCGGGCCCAGTAACATTGTGAGACTTTTTGTTACTGTGTTTGGCATATCGAATATGTCACGGGGAGCTTGCCAGGCTTTGCCGTTCAGGGGAGACACTCTCAGTAGCTTGCTGGGCTCTCTGAGAGGGGTGGAGGAATCGAACTCAGGTCAGCCTGGTCAGCTGCATGCAAGGCAAACGCCCTACCCACTGAGCTATTGCTCCTCCCCATAATTCATGAAACATGACTCTGTGAAGATCAAATCTTTGACCTGGTAAAATCATGTTTGTTTGTTTTTTTTTTGTGGGGGGGGTTGTTTGGTGTTTTTGGGTCACAGTCATTGTTACTCCAGGTTCTGTGCTCAAGGGGTACCTCTCCCCGCCCAGGGGGTTTGTGTTGGTTTGTACCAGTGCTGTCAGGAGTTTCACTTTAATAGTGGAAACGAATTAGTCCTGCTGTGTCCCTCACACCTGACTTCCGGCTTCCCCCTCTCCTTGGCTAAGAAACCTCTTGGTGCAGCCTCTCTGGAAGATGTCTCAGAAACCCAGGACTTACTGAGCCAGCCAGGCCCCGGCTAGTGAGGGGGGACCAGGCCACGACCGGAAGCTGAGAGAGAGGCCTGGCCAGGCAAGGCGTGAGCCATGGGGGCGAGAGATGGGTGGCTGAATGAGCTCTGTCTCTCCTTGACAGAGGCAAGAGCAAGAAAGCCTTGTGGTCCTCCACCCTGGGCTGCTGCCAGCCAGCCTGGACTGGACTGAGGTGGGGGAGTGGCCACGGCAGGCTCAGCATTGCCACCAGAAGGGGGAACTGTCTTCCTGTCTCCACAGGGCCCAGCCTGGCATGCCGCTAGCTGGAGGTCTGTTTCCTCAGGGAACTGGAATAATTTAGACAAACAAGGGATGGGGGAAGGAATATTTACCCCACTCCCTCCACACACTATCTTAGTAACTTCTCATCCAGCCTGAGATGGTTATTCTCATTTTGCAGATGAGGAAACTGAGGCTTACAGAGAATAACCAATCAAAAATCAAAATTACTCAACCAGTGAGTGGCCCTAATCACAGGTACCTGCATACTTATGTAAGAGTCTTAACTCAGGCTTCATTGTTTGCTATCCCTGTTATTCTGGGTAAGACTTTGCCACTCAATAAACCTATATTGTTATTAATCATCAACAGAAGACTAGATATTAATATAAAAGCCAATTTATCTTCGGTGTCTTGCAGTAGTATAGAGTTTCAAGGGTATAATTTCATGCTTGTATCTGCATGAAGTTTGAATGCCATCCCACTGCACACACAGGATCCCTCCACCATTCTTCCTGCCCACAGTTTCTCACTCACCATCACAGTTTTCACTGAGTTGAGGAGTTAGCTCTGTTGTTGGTTGGTTTTTTGACCTTTGTTTTATTCATATTCCTTTGGAATTTGCTTTTCACCTCTCTACTGATTTTAGGTCTTTGCTCTTTTTTTCTTCCTCAGTTTTGTCTTATTTTGTTTACTTATTTGCTCCCACGTGCTTTCTTATTTGTTGAGAGAGTTCTTTATGTTGTTTGGGTATTAACTCTGATGTATAATGTGTAAATATCTCCTCCGTTTGCTCAGTTACCTTTAATTTTTTAATTTAATTTTTTTGCTTTTTGGGTCACACCTGGTGAGGCACAAGGGTTATTACTGGCTCTGCACTCAGGAATTACTCCTGGCGGTGATCAGGGGACCATATGGGATGCTGGGGATTGAACCTGGGTCAGTCGTGTGCAAGGCAAACACCCTACCTGCTGTGCTATCACTCCAACCCCTAGCTTTGATTTTTTCCTTTCCAGTTTCTCTCTTTTTTTTTTTGGCCACATTTGGTGGTGCTG